TAGAAGGATCGTATATTGCTAGGGAATTTGCTATTCCCTTTGGGTAGTAATTAATATTATATATTCCTAACTACTTCGGTTCGTGTTTCCACAGTACAATTGTATTTTATATTAATACTATACCATACTATGCTATTTATATATTTATAAAAATATATATGCGCAACAAATTTTCTATTATTCCTTATGTAATAGTAAAAATTAATTGTTTCTAATAAAAAGGGGAAAAAAACAAAAAGTAATACACGTGTAAAATGAAAAAAAGAAAATACGAATACATGCAAATAAGTACGAAGGTTAGTTGTTGGTGAGAGGGGGGGTTGAAAAGTTTATAATTCTCAGGGAAAAAAGATAATAGAAACGAAATGAACTTATTTGTTTTAAAAATAAAACCGAGTTTGACCGGAAAGGAAGGAAAAAAATAAACCAATTGCTTCCATATTAAGTTTAGAATTCTTCGAACCCATATATATATATATATATATACCATACCACGCGTATAGGTGTAGGTAGTAGATCTTAAAATATTTTCAAGCACTTTGAAAAAAAAAAAGAAAAAAAAAAAAAGGAAAAATCAAACAGAATAAAAAATAACGGATAAAATGATTAAAAATAAAATAAGAAAACGAGGAACGTAAAAAAAAAATTCTTCTTACGGGACACCGCGTATACGACTTTTATCTCTTACGTCATCCTACAATTGAAGAACGGGGATTAGATTGGCTAATCGGTCAAACTGAACACGTTGAGAAACATCCCTGTGTGTTAGTTAAGTTACTACACAACGACAACGAACATTTGTGAAGTGTTCTTTTTTCATTACGTGAAATTTATAAAACGCGACATTCCTAATCTTCTTTTTCGTTATGAAGTTGGCACACCTCTAACGAATTCAACAAGTTTCGTCGACTTCCTTTCTACCTCCCCTCCCCCCTATGTCCCCATTCCCACCCTTACCATCACCCCCACTCCTATCCCTACTAAAAAAACCTTCTTATTCTTTTCTGTTTCTCTTTCCTATTGCTGTCCCATCATTTTGTTTTTTATCTTTCTCTAACATTCTTCTAATTTTCTATTGGTAGAATCAAAACCGGGTTAATGTCGATACGAACGTTTCCAATGTCGCGGTTACGCGAAAACAGGCCTTATGTAAGAAGAACATCGTAGTCCAACGACATTGGAAAGTAATCGAACAGGTATATATCGAAGGAGAACGACAAACCCCCCCCCCAACATACACACACACCTGTGATTTTTGAGAACTCTCTTCAATTTATTAAAAAAAACTTTCCATTTATTCTTTTTTTTTCTTTTCTTTCTTATTATATAATAATTATTTTATTGGGATAATAATAAATCTAGGAGTAGATTTTTGTGACGAGATACTGAAAAGAAACACGTGGTGGGGGGAGGGGCAAGGGTCTTATTGGTCCAACCCTCTGTTAGATAAACGATTTTTCTTTTTTTAATCATGAAAGATATTCGTATTGATAAAATAATACATAAAATATATAATGCTTGTTTCGTTATTTTGAAAAAATATACATTAATATTTAATATATATACATACAAGAACCTCTATACAAATTTAATATAATTTGTGGTTATTTCATTTATTAAAAATAAAGTAAAAGAAAGAATAATATAGAAAGCAAGAAATGGATTCCACGAAAAGGCCAGTGTTCAACATGAAACGAAACGAAACGAAACGAAAGGCCAGGCCCCAGTTCGGTGGACGCTCGTCGAGGAGGAGGAGGAAGAGGAGGAGGAGGAGGAGGACGACCGTGACAGCTTCGTGAACTGTGTTTACAAAAGAGTAAGAGAAAAGAGTATAGTATACGGAGAAACTGAAAGATAAAAAGAGAAAGAAAGCCATAGTGACGGAACAAAGAGAGTTGTATGTGAATGTACGAGAAAAAACTGACTTCGAAGGAACCATGATGACGAGACGATGACGATGAATATATACATGTATGAATTATATATATATATATGTGTGTGTGTATATCCACGCGACATACATACAGAAAAACAGAAGACCTCAAGAAGGATAGAAAGAAAGAGAAAGAAGAAAAAAATAATCGAATTTCTTCGATCATACTTTTCTAACGAGAATTTAAAATGATAGAAAAAACCATTACATATGATTAGTATATAACACAGAGGATAAAATAATAAATTATTCTACCCATCTTTTTATTCTCCTTTTTCTTCTTAATCCTTTCAATTAATTCAAGGACGAGCCTGGTGTGTGTAACACCATGTGTACACAGTGTAACGCCATTTTTACAAACTAGGACGACGAACGACGATAAAATACGCATTTTGTCAAAGATTATTTCGTCAAATAACACGGGGAGGTAAAATAACGCGTATCGTATCGTATCTCTCCTCTCTCTCTTTCTCTCTCTCTTTCTCTTTCTCTTTTCTCGTAAACGTTGTCCTTCGCGTGTTCAGATGCAAATACGGATTATATATTCTCTCGTATTATATATTAATATTTATAAAAGAAAAAGAGAGAGAGAGAGAGAGAGAGAGAGAGAGAGAGAGAGAAACACGATCGAAATAGGGGAACAATAATAAGAAAATTGTCAACATTGAATTAATGTTTCTTATCCCTTTCTTTTTTGTTTTATCAATTTAAATCATCGGCGATGAAGATTTAAAAAAAAAAAAAATCAATAAAAAATATTAAAATATTAGATAATATGTATTAACGCGTGAACTAAATGATCAAGGTAAAAAATTAGAATTTATTGTAATGTTTATATTTATTAACAAATCATAATAAAATTTTTAGTTGCTGATGAAGTACCCAGTAAGGGACGAAACGTACAACTAGTTCAAAATAAATTGTTCATCAGATTTATTAACCGTCTATAATTCCCTTTGAGACTTATATATTAAAATATACATTTAACATATGAATAAATAATTAATACCCGCGTATTGTTGTATTTTTTTACTACAAACGTAACAATTTTTGTAATCATTATTATTATTAATGTTTTTTAAATGAAAAAAAAAATAATTGATGTCATTTAATTGCAAATAATATTACACAATGAACATTTGTATATTATGTAAAATATATAAATATGATTTGAAATTCGTTAAAGACGTTTTGTCAATCGATCGTTCGATCAACGTAGTATTATATATCCGGGAATAAACCACCATGATGATGATGGACACTCCTGAACGTATCGCAAAGTCGTTATAACCGTAGTTGTGACATACGTTTTGTACGAACCCAAAGAGACGTGAAATAAATATCCATATGCCTTTTTTTTTTTCTCTTCCTCCTCTCTTCTTTCTATTCTTCTTTCGCTCTCTCCTATAGAAGAATATCTCTTGACCGTGTCGAAACGAATGAAAATGAAAATGAAAATGAAACGAAACGAAACGAGACGAGACGAGACGAATATTTCTTAGAAATAACACATAAGATAGAGATACATGTATATACTTTAAACACCAAGAGAATAAACTAAATATAAAAACTCGGCCTGTAATATTCACGAACAAATTTATCTCAAACTTTTTAACCTAAATAAAAATAAGAAAAAAAAAGAAAAAAGAAAAGAGGGAAACTTATTCAACGTGAAAAATTCGAATACAAAAAAAAAACACCTCTATATATATATATATATATATATAACCGTATACAATTAAGAACATATATATATAGTTATATAGAATCTCAACATTATAAGTTATGAAACGTATAAGTAGTGGTGTAATAGTAAAGAATTTAACCGTTCACACGGGTACAAAAATATATGCACCTATACATTTATGCTCTCTCTCTCTTATAAACTAGATTAGAGATTATGTATGTAATAGTAATAGCAGCAACAGCACCAACAGCAGCTAATAGTAATAGTAGTAGTAGAAGTCTAGTAATGTGGTAGTAGAGGATTCAAACGGTCGAGGGTCGAATTTCTCGGTCGAAGAGGTAACGCTTAGTCTGAGAAGCATCGTTGAGTATAAAAGAAGAAGAAGAAGAAGAAGAAGGAGGAGGAGGAGGAGGAGGAGGAGGAGGAGGATGAAGAAGAAGAAGGGGGAGTGAAGGGGTTAGGGGGGGGAGTAAGGAATGTCGACAGGTAGAGGAAGAAAGAATAAAAAGAGAGAGAGAGATATATAAAAAGAGAATGTAAGGGTCTAGGCTCTTGGTCTTCGTCTGGATTCGAAGGGCACGAAAGAAAAGAGGGGAAGGGCAGAACAGGAGAGGGGAAGGGCAGAACAGGAGTGGGAAGGTGGAGGGATGGTGGAGGAGGGACGTGTTTGCTTGGCTTGGACATGCGCTCTCTGTATTCTCTCCACAGGTTTGAAGAGAAACACATGGGGGTGGGGGTGGAGTTTTTAGGTTTTTCAAAGTGCGAGGGATGGATGGCGCGCAAAAGGAATGGATTGGAAAGGAATGGAAAGAAGAAAAGAATAGTAGAGTTGAATCGAGTTGAGAGAAGAACGGTTCGACCAAGATGAAGATGAAGATGAAGATGACGAGACGACGTTTACTCGTCGTCCTCGAGGCGTTCAGATCCGCAAGCAAGGGCCCTCGAGCAACAACGTCTCGTGGCCGTGAGAAAGTGTGTGCATTATACGTGTGCTCAATCGTTTCTCTTATATGTATGTATGTATTTATGTATGTATATATATACTGCTAGAGATAGATAGATAGATAGATATAGATAGAGATAATGATAGATATATATATATATATATATATAGGTATATTCTAGAATACACAATATACTGACCGTGACAACGGTAGGACGAAGATCACTGGCGAAGTACGTCGTTTTGAATCCACCGGCAAGCAGTTTCAAAAGAAGTTGCAGTTGTTGCAGTTGTTGATATCGGTAATAATAATAACAACAACAACAACAATCAAACAGGCCCTCTTCTTCACGTTTATTTCTTTCACTTTTTCTATCCCTTCTTTTTATAGGATTTTCTTCTTAGAAACTTTCTTCTTCTTCTGCTTCTTCTTCTTCTTCTTTTTACCACAGAGCACACAAAAATCGTACGATGAAAAGGTGGTATGCAGGAGCAGTCATAGGATTCGATGAGACGACTGATGATGAACGAAATTAATGATAATGATAAGAAGAAGTATAATAAAGGCACTCGCGTTTTATTTTTTTCTATTTTCTTTGAAAAAGACTTAGATGAAAATATAAAGAAAAAGAGTTAAAAGTAATAGAGAATTTTCGAGAAGGAAAAAATACAAATGATATATAGATATATATATATATATGTATATATAATTAGTTTTATTTTTATTTCACTGCGAGTACGACGACGCGTGTATAATAGGATATGTACACACGTATATGTATTTATTTGTTACGATTATAATTTAAACACGCGACGAGATCTCTTGGAGAAATGTACATACAAACAATTCCTATCGATTCCGCGAACAAACAACGTCAGACTGTGTTTCCTCGATGACGCTCCTGTATGTCTGGTGTTGGTATTCCGTCAGTAATGTACAGTAAGTAGTAGTTAGTATTATACTATAGTAATATAGTAGCGGTCCTCGTCGTCAATTGGTGGTGCGTCGGTTGTGTGTGTGTGTGTGTGTGTGTGTGTGTGTGTGTGGTTCACGAAAGAAAATAAATGAGAAAGATAAAAAGAGACACACGGATATAAAAAGAAAGAAAACGGGATGATGATAAAATACGAGAAATGACGAATAACAATTTGGAGGTTAGGAGGAACACGCCGTTGGTTTTTCGTTACTGACTACGACGACGACGACGACGTAAACGATAAATACAACGTTCGGCGTTTGATAATTACGTTAATGACAATAGCGATAATAACGACGATTGCAAAAAAAAGAAAAAACTAACGGATCTCTATCCTCGAAAAAGATATATAGATAAATAGACAAAGAAAAAGACAGATAGATAGATAGATAGATAGAAATAAAGAAAAGATAGCGAAACGCGACAACGAGGTGCTGGTGTGGTTTCCTTTTCTCTTTCAGTCCTCGTTGCCGATCCCACACGACGACGGTGGCGACGTTCGAAGCTCCTTCGTGACTTCGCGCGCGCACGAGACGAGCAGGAGCGTGACGACGACGAAGGTTAGGTGGGGAAGTGGGAAGGAGGTGGTGAACAGGCAACGGAAGAGTATCAGCACCAGTAGAGCGTAGGAGTTGGTAGGTAGGCAAGCAAGCAGTCAGGCAGGCTCCAAGTACGAAAGGTGGGCGAACAACAACGGGTGAGGGGAAGGAAAAGGGGGGTGGGCACCGTAGGTACGCGATCGCAAACGTCACTGCTGCGTGTGAAAAGACGCGGGAGAATAGTATAGTTACGGAATAGGTTAGAAAAAAAAAAAAAAAAAAAAAAAAATATAAAAATGATCAGAGAGAGAAAGAGAAAGAGAGAAAAAGATAGAGATTAATTATAATATGAGAGAAAAAAAAAAGGAAACTCACGATGAACAAATTTGCGAACACCACTAGGTCGCACAATAGATTTTTTTTTCACCACTATGAATACTTATTTATTACTTTCTTTTTTTTTTTTTCTTCCTTTGTACGCGCGGTTCTTTATTTAATACGGAGGAGGACACACACAGAAGGATATACGGCTTTCAAACTCGTCGTCGTGTTTCTCTCTCTCGTGTCTCGAGGTAGTAACGTTTTCAGGCGACGTTGAAACTTCGGAGCACACGAGTAGCGCGCAGCACGCCGGGAGAATCTGAGAGAGAAAGAACAAACGAGCGAGAAGGATAGAGAGGAGGGATAAACCGACGCCGTGGAATAGGAAGGGGAGGCAGCGTGCTCGCTCACGTTCGGTAATATTCGGTTATACTCGGCTAACGTTACTCGATTGGGAGGGAGTACCGGCGGCGTGAAAACTTCCTGACGGCTCCGTTGCCGGCTGTTCAGGAGTGGGGGAACCGAAGAGGGGAGCAGCCGGCAACAGCCGACTCCTCGCTTCGCTCTTCTTCGTTCTTTCTTTATTTCTTTATTTCTTTATTTCTCTTTCTCTTTCTTTCTTTCTTTCTTTCCTCCCTCTTGCTCGTACCGTTCTTCCTTTTCACGACCGATGCCTCCTTGCTTGCACGTTTATACGAATACATATATATAATCTGTGTATATATATATGTGTGACGGCATATGTGTGTCGTCGTTTTAGTAAAACGTATCGGCACACGGCGCGCAAACGTACGATTCAACTTCGTATATATGCGGCTGCGTGTTGTACAGGGTGATACTCAAGAAGGAATAGAAGATAGAAACATAGGTTAGAGGAAATAGCTTTGCTTGTGAAAGAATAGATGAAGGAGACGTGCCTGCGAAATCAATTACCGCGCGCTTTTTTTTTTTTTTTTTTCTTTTATTCTTTTTAACGATACGGGTCTCTTATTTCGAAGCGTGCGTTATATCGACGCCATCTTGCTTCGCTACGTTAATTATGCAGTATCTAGCGGACGTTGCACGTACAACCCAACCTATACATACACACGCACACACGAAAGAAGCTCGTCACGCGTATCGCCGTGATTGTGTATATATACATATATATGTATACATAATCATAGATTTTTACTTCTCTCTTCTTCTCTCTTCTAACATTTATAAATATATATATATATATATATTGTAAAATATTTCTTGGCACGTACTTGGAATTGCAAATAAATCAGAAATCATAAAAATTGCAGATATACCCCGACGGTGGTCCCGCATTTTCCACAGCCGAAATAGATATTACGAGCAACGCGGAAGAAGAAGAAGAAGAAGAAGTGGTAATAGTAATAGTGTAGTAGTAGAAATATAAACTTCTTCAGTCCAACGACGAAAATGTAAATTTTTTACCTTTACCGTTGATATATCTGTTTGCATCATTTCCCTCGCGTTTCTTCTTCAAGAAGATGCCGGAATTCTTTTAACAACAATACGTGTTCCTGTATCCTGTTTTTTTTATATATATATATATTTTTTTTTTATTTTCTATTACTATTATAAAATTTGTTTCCATTCTTGTATTCCGATGTTTATTTCGACTTTTAATTCGTGACGGTATTTTTCTTCTTCCTGCCTCGAGACTGGTAAATGCTACAATGCAAATGTTACGTATGTAATAAATAAGTATTACTTATATTTATACATATCTATATATATATATATGCATATAAATATTTCGATGTACATAGTTTATATGCATATATAAATGTACATAATTACGTATACATGAACAACTCGAAAAGAGAAACATTAGTTTTGTATATATAATTTACTTCGGCTGATACACCCCCCACACGACAAGTAACTTCACAAAAAAAATATCATTACGAAAACAAGATGGAGAAACAAAAGAGACTAATGCAGAAAAAAAAAGAAAAATAAAATACATATCCTGTTTTTAAATAAAGTTTTACGAAGAATAAGAATGACGTGGTAGATATTACAATTCGAAGTGGTTAAATACATGTGTACATATTTACATACTTATTTCCCGAAAGATAAGATTCATTTTTATGATCTTTCACTGAAAATTATAATAATGTTTAATAAAATATATATATATTGTACATACTTATGAGATATAGATATTCATTAAAAAAAATAAAACAAATATTTATTTTATTATTTATAAAACCATTTAAAGATAAATATATCAAAGTTGAATATAAAGTGACAGACAGTGTCAATAAAATGATTGAAAAAATTGGACAAGACTGACATACATTAACAGTTGTAATATTGGTAAGGAAATAAAAATCGAACAAAAAACGATTTCAAATCATTTGGAAAAGGCGTTGTGGAGAAAGAGAGAGAGAGAGATACAAAATATAAATAAAAATTTATTTTACATTTTCATTATATATATATAAAATACGAAGGAAATGTTTAATCTCGATCCAATATACATATATTATTCAATTTTTATTCATTCATAATATCACTCACACGTTTGTATTCGCGTAAATCGTTCGTTATATTATTAATTAACTAATCGTCGTCTCTGTCAGTTATAATAAATTTCGATTTATGTATGTATGTATATATAAATTATAATCATGACTGAAAGAGAAGTTTCATTAAAACTTGTTTTCGAATCTCTAGTCTCGTTACTGTTTTATTACATACTATTCATATTCCATATAAATATTGCATGTAAATATATATATTATGTATTTATATATATATATTATGTATATATATATATATATATACATATCTACATATCAAACAACGAGAGTTGGTCGTGTCGTCATATCGTTATTAATACTCGTTTGTTTATTCATTCCTATCTAGTTAAAAATGAAATAAAACAAAATAAAAATAGGAAAAATATGAGAACCAAAAAGAAAAAAAAAAACAAACAAACAAAAACCCCTCCTACCCATTAAAAATATACAACACAGATTGGTATGTAACGATTATCGATTGATATAAGTTTATTTAACGAAACAAAAGAAAATAATAAAACGTACGCGCAAGAGAAATGAATTAATAAATTGTGAATCATTTAAATATTACAAATCAGTAAAGATCCTCGAACGATAATAATAATAATAATAATAATCTCAATACGAAAACTTCGTAACATGTGAATCATTGTATATACGACAGCCATATTGTTGCTTCTTTTTCTTTCGAGATAGCGAATAAAAATAACGTAAGTAAAAATATTCGATAAATAAATTCATGGAAAAGAGAAAAGAATTAGAGAAGAGGGACACCCGGTATAAGGACGCGTACACGGTCGCATGGTCGAAAAGAATACGGTTGGAAAGAGGAGGAGGGATATATATAAAAAAAAAAAAAAAGAAAAAGAGGGAAAGAAAGAGAGAGAGAGAGAAACGAAAAGACGTGTGAGAAAGAGGGAAAAAGAGAGAGAGAAAGAAAGTACTCAGCGAAACAGCGATGCTACCAGCCCACCGTGGCATCAGCGTGTTTGTCATGGTAGGGGGAAAGGAATGATGGGCAAGGGGGGGTAAGGGGATTGGAAACGACGAACGAATGAACGAACGAACGAAGGAGGAACGAGAAGACCTTGCACGGTTCTCTCTTTTTCTTTTTTCCTCTCCTCTCCTCTTCTCTCTTCTCTTCTCTTCTCTTCTCTTCTCTTCTCTTCTCTCACTCTCTCGCTCTCTCGCTCTCTCTCTCTTCTTTCTTTTTCGCTGGAAGTCTCGCACGTAGAAAACGATGCTTTGTATGTTGGGTAGGCAGTTTAATGGGAGAGGTAATATGGGGGTTTCTAAAGAAGGAAAAGAGAGAAGATAGGCGTCACACACTTGTGAATATTCTTTTACAATCGGCCATGCGGCACCAAAAACTTTCTTACGCTTGAATTTTCATATTTCCCGCGCTTTTTATTTCGTTTTTCCTTCCTTCCTTTTCTTTACTTTACTTTACTTTACTTTTTTTCTTCTTCTATTTATTTTCTTTTTTAAATGTCTCTCTACTGCATATCGACGAAGAAGACAAAAAAAAATAAAATCAGTAGACGACGCATTGTATTTTTGGTTTTGTATCTTTATTATTTTATTATCAGTCGGTGAAAATACGTGTGAAAATAGAGGAGGAGAGAACGATTGGCGAACATACGGATTTGTAGTATAGAGAGAGAGAGAGAGAGAGAGAGAGAAGAGAAGAGAAATAGAATGAGGTCGACGCATTTCGCGATTCGTGCGCCCTGCGGCTCAAACGCAAGCAGCAGCAACAGCAGCAGCAGAATCGTATATGCTTCTTGCATTTGTGATGTCCCAGCGGAATACGAGTACCCGCCGTGTGCCTTCGAGGAGTAACGCCGTTCATGGAAATACAGAGGAAGGAAAGAGAGAGAGAGAGAGAGAGAAAGAGAATGAGAGGGGTCTCAAGGCTGCGCTTGAAAAATGTACAGAGGGGAAGGGATCAACCTCTTCCCTCATGGGACAAGATCTGATCGTTACTTTACCCTACCAACAAACTCACTCTCTCTCTCTTTTTCTTTCTTTCTTTCTTTCTCTCTCTCTTTTTCTTTCATTTTCTTTTTCTCTCTCTCTCTTACTTTTTCTTCGGCCAAAAAAGAATTTAACAATCTGCTTGTTATTTTTGACCTAATTCGATGGATCTCTATCGAAGCTTAAAAGAAGAAAATTGTGCCGACAATGTTGGAAAAATCTAAAGAGAAAAGAACGACGAAAAATACCAATATGGCGTCGAAAGCGAAAAAATTACACACGAGTATGAGAAGAAAGAAAGAAAAGAAAAGAAAAGAAAAGTAAAAACAAAGAATAGAATAAGAATTTTCAATATGGCGTCGGAAACGAAACGTACGAGAATGAAAAAAAAGAATGGCAACTTTCAATATGGCGTCGAATGGGGAAACAGGCTAAATGAAAATAAGAATGACGAGTTTCAATATGGCGTCTATAGAAAATGGACTTATGAACAAGAAAAAAAATGGTAACGCGTACGTAAAAGTATATTTATATATTTATATATAGTATAGTATAGTATATAAATAGAAATATGTATATATACTTTAGTGTGTGGATGTATGTAATATGTGAAAAAAAAAAAGAAAAAACGGTCAAGAAAAGGTAATACCTTATCGTGCGAGATTTTCTCACTTTTCGCAAGGTTTCTAGCGCATTTCAAGAAAGATACATAGCACGACAGCCATATCTCAAGCTCGCTGAGAACGCTAAACGGGCGCTTTCAACGTGCGAATTAAGATTAATCGCGCAAAAGAAGCCCACACACACACTTATATATGTATATATACAACATAACCCTCCCCCCACCCCGCCCTTGTGCCAACGCACACACGGGCAGACTTTTGAACGAAGAAAATCTGTCTTCCGGACGAGAATGTAAAGTCATGGAAAGAAGACTTATAGTTCGGCCGGAAGCTTGACTACTACCAGCTGGGTCCTTTTCTCATTGGCCGATTCTTCTTTTTTTTTTTTCTTTTATTCTTTCCTTTATTCTCGAGCTTTTTTATACGAAATTCCGTTTTCCCATAAGATTAGTACCGAAATTCTTCGAATTAATACATTCCGACCATATTTTTCTGGTTTCTTTTCTTTACTTTTCTTTTCTTTGCTTTTCTTTTCTTATGGCGTTTTAAATCGCATAAAGAAAATTCGATATGGCAAGAGAGAAAGAAGAAGAAGGAGGTGAAATGAAATAAAAGGAAAAAAAAAAAAGAAAAATGGATGCTCGGAAAGTAAAAAAAACGAAACATCTTTTTACGCGATTTCTCGTATAGTCACTAGATGTCGTCCTACGTATCGGCCAACTGCGATACGAGAATAATAACGTGGCGACTCATAGTGACTGATATCTATAAGTATTAAAAAAGAATATAAAACCACACATATTGCAGATTCAATATTATTATGTAGATCTGATTTTGTATATTTTTGTCTAGAATAAATTAAATTTAGGATTCATTTTAATCGAAATTTTTGTCATTTAAAAAACTATTACTTTATTTTAATGAACTTTTATTGAGAAGTTATTTTATTTCGAAATTGACGATATCGATGTTCAAAAATTCGCGTCATGAAAATAACCTTTATTTATGTAAAAAAAAAAAAAAAAAAAAAAAAAAACCACTCTAGAGTTTTCTATTTAATGTTAATATAATAAAGATTTTTTTCTTATCCAAAATTTTTTCATATTATTACTAAGTTTACTTCTTAGGGATGTTATTTTTTGAACAGGTTTAAATCAGATGAACAATATATTTATCCGTTGAACGTTTCGTCTCTATTTGAGACTTCCTCAGCAACTTGATAGTTATGTTTATAAGTCAATATAACATCATTTTTATTACAGTCATACGTTTTCACTATCTTATATATAGAGTCAATTTTTAAAAACCGTTATCCTACCATAACTTTTCGAACACTACTGGTTACCTATTCTATTCTAAAATATTCTATTCTCAATTTAGAGAGAAGTTCTATTAAATATATTTTTTCAAGTTCTATTTAATATTTTTAACGTTTTCGAATGTAAAAGTAAATTTAAAAAAGGGAGGGGGGCAGGAGGAGGGGGGAAAAAAATGTCAA